GTTTCCGCGTTATCATATGAAAATTGAAGTAACGCTATTTAATGTATGATTTACAAGGACTTTTTTTATTTCAATTTTTCTTATTTCGGTCTCAGAACGAATTATGTTTTCCCAAGCTGCGTCCTAGAAAGCAGGGCTTAATGTGTAACATTTTAGTTGAGTATATTACTCATAACATTGTAAAACGCAAATTTGACTGCTGTGCATCGGTGAGAATAATTTAAGGCAGCAACGCCGGTCCAGTTAATGTTTCAGTACTGTTGTCATTTGTTTGCCGTTGCCATTCGGTACCACTGCCTTTGTTTTAAGAAACACATAATTTTGCTAAATTGAATATAATAAAATTTTATTAGCAAATGTATGAAATTGTTAAAATAAATTTATGTCTTTATTAAAATGAACAGTTGTTAAAATGAAGCTTTATTTCATGGCTAAAAATTGAAACTTCTTAAATTAAGTACTTTTTTTAAATTAAAATGAATATAATAAAAATTGTGTTTTTTTTCTAGTATCTTTAGACAAGAAATAACGCAAATAAATTTAAAATATGCTTTTTCCATTAAATACAACACTAAACATAAGGTTCTGCTTTGGAAAATCGTGAAAGGAAATTTAATATCACAGTTGGGAACGTATCCAATATTGATTGACATACAGAAATACAACATACATTAAGAAAACGTGTGTTTCTTTTTCATCACTATTTCTCAGAAGAAAGAGAAGCTGAGATTTATTCTACCCTTTTTCTGGTTTTAGTCATCCATCTTAGTTATTTTTTATGTAGGTAAAGAGTGTATCGAAAAAATCAAATTAAACCTTGACGTAAAAGAGAATTCCCAATTAATTTTTTTTGCTTTATTAGTAGAAATCATGTATACAAAAACATACTAGAAGCAATTTATTCACTTACGTATTTGCAGTGTTTTTTAACCAGAAGGAAGTATGTACTTATTTATTATTAGATTACCATTAATTTTATTCGATTAAAGACGAAGGCAAGTAATTCTCAGCAAAAGATTAATAGAGTAATTTGCTATTATTTATGTATACTGATATCATAATGGCTGAGAAGAAAATATATATCTACATACTTAATTAAAATACATATTATTTTTATTTTTATGTATTGATAAACTATCAATATATGTTTAAGATAATAACTTACTTGCATCGAGTAGATTAAATAATATAGTCCTATAAACTACTCAAATATATTTTATTTGAAAAATACATAAAAGCGTTTTAAACATAAAAAATAATAATTTGATAATATTTCTAACATTAATTTTAAAAATTACTTTCGAAAAAAAGTACCTAGCAATATTTTTAGAATGAAGTAAACAAGGACATTAAAGTTGCATGCCTATAAATAATAACTTTAAGAGAAAAACGTTAGAAACTCAATGATAGTCAGTTTTCCATCATAAATTTTGCTCCTTTTAATATTATTGTATAAATTTTTGTAAAACTTTGAATTCCAAAACTCTAGTTTTTATTAAAAATGGATCTATATTTATATAATTTAAAAATACAACAAGCGCGTTTCACTTTAAAAAAAGGAAAAAAAAGGAACAGCATTGAAAAGGGGGGTTTGAAACTTCTCTAAAACATTACGTAAATTCATAATGGTCTTAAAAATGTTTCTCTGGTGCAACCCCATGAGCGAAATTAGTCAGGACCGAAAAATATTTGCATCACCCCCCTTTACACAAATAATAAGTATTAAAATAATTCACTAAATAGAACTTGTTACGGTCATTATCCAGAAAAAAATTCTAGTAAATATCTGCAAAGAAATTTAAAAGGATATAGGGAACTTTTATTTAAAATTCTCTTATTAAATTCCATTTCAACGAGAGAGAAAAAAATTTGAACTCAATCATTCACAGTTTCTAGTAGATTGTTATATTCGTACATAAATCAGCAAAAGAAACAAAATATATTGCGAATTCTCTACTTTTTATGTTTTTTCTCTATTTTCATGCGCAGTGATGAATGGAATTAAAAGAAAACCTTATTCACTCGGAAATCTTTCCAATACAGAGTTATATAAATTTTTTGTGCTTTTAGCAAATAATTTCCAATTGAAATCTAGTGCTTAAAAAACTATTTTATTTAAGGGAGGTGCACAGTCTAAACTTTTATCAGAAAAAAAAAACAAATATACACAGAGACCAAAAAATATCACCCATGGAGAGTTAAATTCTCGTTTTCAATTTTCATTTTGTTTTGCATTATCAGCATATGAACTTAGAAATAACGTTATTCAATATATGATTTGCAGGGATTTTTTTAATTTTTAAGAATTCCGTTTCAGATGGAATTATGTTTTTTTAAACTGCGTCCTAGAAAGCAGGGTTTAATGTGTAACATTTTAGTTGAATAAATGACTCACAAAATCGGAAAAGGCATCTTTAAAAATGAATACGGCAAATCTGATTGCTGTGCATCAGTAAAAATACTTTAAGGCCGTTGTCACCGGTATACGACATTTTGGTCCCACTGTTTTAGTCCAGTTGCTGTTTCAATACCGTTGCCATTTCAGCCCTGTCCCGAATCAGTTCCATAACTGATTTATTCTTACCATTAAATTAATACCATTTTCACATTTTTATCACGGTGGTTTTTCAATGGCCTTAAAAAAACTTTTTTAGTTTACTAAATTAATTATTTATTATTTTTAATATGATAAAACAAGAGATTATAAATGATTATTAACTATTTATAAACTAAAGTTTGGGAAGGAGAAAATTGAGTTTTATTTTTAACTCCTTTATTCCCATTCTCTCAATGACTTAACTGCGGAAGGGGTATGGGACTCCCTCCCTCACTATAATATGAAGTCCAAATGCAAATTTCCATTATTCAAATAATTTTATTATTAATTATGGAATAATGAGTAATGATTTTTAAGCTCGGAAAGAAAATAAATAAAAAAATAAGGATTTCTTCAATAAATACCTTCACCAAGTGCAATTTTGTAACTCTTTTCAAATAATTCCCATGTTTGAAGAACGAAAGTTTTTGAAAAGAGGCTAAATGCTAGGGGCCAAATATTAATGAAATAAAAATTATAAAAATAAGCATCATTTCAAGTACATTTGATTTTTCATCTGAATGAGAAAAACCGAAATAGCGAGAAAAGGAATGATGTTAAAGTCAATGAAACAGCCACGAGACCGTAATGACAGGACCAAAACATCCTGCTTCGCGCGTCAGATCAGAGCTCGTGTCCCAACGAAAATGGTAAAATACTTAACAATCGAGATATGGTGAATAGTGAGCAAGATTTCCTTTTTAGCGGAACAGAATTCCATTATATTTTTGTATAATTTCCCCCCTTTACTGCTTGATATATTAGTTAATTTAAAAAAATGAAAAGCTGTAATACAGGCTATGATACAGCATTTAAAACTATTTTAAACGTTTTCACGACATTTATGATGGGTGACCGATGCTTAAATATTCGATTTGTATAATGGTAATCATAAATTTCGTATTATAATATATTGATATAAATTATTTATTTTTCAAAACTACAATAGACAGTTAAGGAAAATAAAATTTTATTAAAATTGAATTCAGTCTAAACCATAAATATTCATTATAATTTCTAATTTAATTAAAATAATTTGGTTAAACGCCATTTTTACCAATCCTTGCATTCACGAATAAATTTTGACGAACTTTTTATATGAATGCTTTTTTGGCAGCTTTCGGCTTCAGCCTTTAAAATATAAAGAAATCTATATGAAAAGATGTTTCCGTAACAGGTGGTATCGGTTTTCTTTCAGTGTGCTTCTGCTTCATAGCACCGCATTTATTAGATGTTGATGGTATAAGCGACTACTTAGTTCATCGATTTGATTTTTATGTCTAATTATATGAATGGGCAATTTCTGTCTTTCAAACCTCATGATAATTAGTTTTGGATGTAGAAGTAAAAGAGGCAGAAGCTTTAACAATTTATTCGTAAAAATTGTTGAGAGAGAGCTCACCTATTATTGTTATAAATATTGTATCTTTCAAATTAAATTATTACTAAGATTTTTCTATAGACAATTGTAAGGTTCTAATTGAAATCTGTTATACATAAGCAATATTGTTATACATATTATGTAACAAATTGTGGAACACTATCAAAATAAATGACATTAAACAATAATGACAATTTTGCACTTTTCAATGGAGAAAAAAATCCCGGTAAAATTATTGCTGATGAAATTTCATGGTGATGAAATTTCTGGTAATAAAAAAACAACAACATAATTCTGGCCTATGGAGCCAAAATATTCGGTATTTGAAACATTTATTGGGGGAAGAGTTTATCAATGAAATTCTGGTTTACAAAATTATGATTCTTATTGCCACATATTTAGTAAGAAAAATAAAACAGCAAAGTAAATTTAGCCGAATATATGGGTTTTATGCCATGCTTTGAGATATCATGTTTAAATGATCTAATTTTACCACATTTACCAAATTTCGTCACACGTTATGAAACCATATTTTATTGTTAATTTCACTGAGATTATAACGAAAGCGCTTCGGTAAAAATATTGGGAGGGCTTGATGTTCCCATAAATCCAGAATTACGGAAAATATTACCATATTCTGGTAGTTTCGCCATACTTTTTCTTCTCAATGCGTTATTTAAAAATAGTTTGAATGTATCAAAATCTTATTCCCAGATTTTGATATTATGCTTATGAGTTATTGCTAATTATTTGCTGTTAATTTATTTCTTAATATTAATTGTTTCTAAATACAATATGATTAGTATCATAGTCCCAATTTATTTCATTTAAAGATTCTGAAATTTACTATAAAATACATTTAGTTAAAATTCATGTATTAAAGCTAAGATTCAATGTTTATTATTTCGAAATGCTTGTTATGTAAATAGATCTTAATACGGGAAAATAAGCATACAGTTTTGGGTGTAATTTATTAAACAGTATTAATGTTGAAAAAACGAGATTAATGTAAATCATACAAACCTTCTTAGTTCCATTGCATTCTTCCTTATCTTCATACTACAATAAAAAGTAACATGATTCATTCATGTATATAAAACTGTTTTTTTTAGTGAAAATTATATCGTTAAATTGTAATTTAAGAGAGGATAAAATTGATAGAAATTCTAATGGCTAATTTTCTCAATACTTCCTTACACTTACATAGATTCAGAAAAAAACGAATAAATAGAAAAAAAAGAAAAAAAGAAAAAATGAAAAAAAACTTTTTATATTGTTTTTAGGTTCCACAAACCTTTGCACTAACGTGCATGACTAAACAGCTTACTTTTTGTTAAATGCATTTATCTAAGTTTTGTTTTGTCGGTTTTTCTTTATTACGTGAACAGAGCGCAAAACCGAAAATTTAACATCTTAATAACTTTTATAATAACTTATTGTATAATGATCAGGTAAATTCTTTTTCAGTCGGATCTGTTAAGCGTATTTAGAAACAAATGTAAAGATTTAAAAGACTCACTTTGAAATCGCCAATCATTTTGTGCAGATATATTTTAAGGCTTAAAATTGAAATATTAAGACTTCATCTGAATAAACATCTTTCGAAGGATTTAGTCCTAACACTTCATAGTTTTTAACCATTTCCTTTTAAGGTTGTTATTTATAGGTATGCAACTTTAAGGTCAGTTTCATTTTATATAAAAATTTTACTTGGCAGATCTGGATTCCACCAATTGTCGTTCGTAAAATGAATGTTAAAAAAAATACTATTCAAACTATTATTTTATAAATTTACTATTATTTTTTTGTTTACTTTTAAAATGCTTTTGTGTATATTTCAAACAAGATGTATTTGAATATTTTATAGAACTACATAATTTAATTTATTCTAATATGGCGTATGTGTCAATTAAAAAATAAAATCTGATCAATTCCTTGAATATTTAAGATTGAATCTTAGTAAATAAAATGTTGACTTTTAGATAAAAGGTTATTCAGGTATTTTGTTGTTTTTTACTTTGTACATTATAAAGTCCTTTAAAGTTTTTTATTTTAAAGTTATTTCATTAAAATGCGAAATTAAAAAAAGTAAATTAAAAAAATACCCTAAGCGCTTGTAAGTAACTTGAATTTCAATGCAATTAATACATAATTTTACTAGTTATAAATCCTTAACTCTCTGTGTATTAAATTAAAAAATCAAAATCAATTAACATAACCTTGTATATAATTATATAATTTTCCCTAATCATAATAAAAAGTTACCAATTTTATATATTTACAATTATTTTTAACAGATTTGTTCTGTAAGAGACTAATACTTTTTCAATTAAATAAAATTTTTACATAAATTATTCAACATTAATTTTATAAACTCTTTATTAAATTATTTTGGATTACAGAAACTCTTCATTTATTGTATTTAGGTTTAATTTTGTTTTAAGTTCAGCTCTTTGAGTTATTTTTATGATGCATGCAACAGTGGCAGTTTTCACTTTTCAATTAATGTATTCATGTATTAGATAATTTATATTATTAGCAGTAATACGAGATCTGTTTTTCAAATGAGGGCTGTAAAAACCAATGGAATAAATAAAGGAATACCAAAGGAAAGAAAATGTTCATGAAGCAAATTTATTTTTTGATTCGGCATACGTTTCTCTTTTCTTCAAAATAGTTGCCAAGTTTACTTTAATACTTATCATACCTTACAACTAGATTTAGAATTCGTTCTTCATAGTAACTTACCAAAAGTTCCGATAACCAAGAGGTCACGACCTATTTCGCATCGTTGTATTGATTGCCGCCAAAAAGATGTTTGAAACATCGGGAAGGATGAAAATCACTTAGCGCAAGATCTGGGCGGTACTGAGGGTTAGTCTGAAACTCTCCAGACAGAAGAGTCCAATAAAGCTCGGAACTGAGCTGTCGAGAGAGTCATTCTCATGGAGAAGCAAAATTTTCTGTCAGCATGCCAGTAGGAAGCTTCGTAAACTGCACAAATCTGCCATTTAATGTATGCAGCAGATCAGCTTTTTGCGAATAGAAACGCATCACTAACCGTGCCTCATACGCGGAGGGCGATTTGTTAAACTTGAGCATTTTAAAGACACAGAACTGATAGGTTACCCACACAGCGAACTGATAAGTTACCCACACAGCGAACTGATAGGTTACCCACACAGCGAACTGCTAGGTTACCCACATACATAGGTTACACACACCACTAAGCACAGTTGTGCCCAAGATATGCCAGAACACGAAGCAAGCACTCGTTGCGACGCACGAGTCAGCTATTAGGGCACACAACAAAACGGCCCTTACTTTGAAAACAGAACTTGTAAAATTAAAAAAAAAAAATATCTTTTACCATTCTTAATGATATATTTTCATCAGCCACTTTTACGTTTGGAGGAGGAGAACCTCTTTTTCGCCACAAGTAATTTACGAATGTAAATTCCAGTAAAGCAGTGAAAACAAAGGTTGTGCAAGCTCCCATCCAGACGTCAATAGCTTTTACATAAGAAACGGGTGGCAAGTTGCTTTGGATTCCTGAACTCTTAGATGAAATGGTCAGCAAAGTAGTAACGCCAAGGGTAATACGGGCTGGAATAGCTTCAACGTCCAGCCAGAATGATACCCAAGAAATGACTACTATCAATATCGTTGGCAAGTATGACTGGACAAGATGGTAGCCAATTGAACGCTGCAAGTTGAACTCTGCTTTTAAGCAACTGTATTCACCTAAAATAACAATTTGTAGCATTATTTGATGGCATTCAAAGATTGAAACCATTATTAAGTCTTTTTCAATTGTTATAAATTCAATTAAACTAATTTTAAGTTAATTTAAAAAAAGTATGAGGGGACAAGTGCAATAGACAATTTTTTGTATGGCTCTTTTTTTTTCTAAAAAATGATTAAATAAACAAAATATCAGTTATAGTTTAGAAAAAAAGGCTTAACAGAGTTGAGAATAGCATCCCACTTTTTTTTTAAATTTGTAGGTTGAGAGAAAATATTTGGTTTGTTTGTAACCAAAAATAATTAAGAAATATGAAATTTGTTTTTAAACCCCTCATAGTTGAATTTTTTATTAAAAGTTATAACGTCATACCAATTTTTTTTATTAGTTTCATGATTTATATTTTAGAAAATAAATGAAAGTACGTAAATTTATATGAATTACTTGAACTTGATCTAAAATTTCTTTATTTTCATTAATTTATTAGTAAAATATTCCTTTATGTGTTTGCGTGACTCCCTTTTTGTTTGTGTTAAACGTTTCGTAAAAAATAGGACTTGTTTATATGCATTTTACCATATAGAAATGATGTAGTAAATAAAATAAATTTATTCTTTTATTTATAGAATATTTGCAATAAATTGAAATTGTATAAATACATTAAAACAATTAAAAAATTTCTGATTTTTTTTATCTGAACCAAGCAAGAAATGAATCATCTAATAAAATAAAGTAAAGTAAAGAACTCAAATCAAAAATAATAAAATATAACCACCAGGACACCCTCTCCGTGGTATGGATATTCCTGAGGAGTTGAGACATCCACAATCTACCCTTGCATGCAGGTTTATATTGCCGTTTCTTCACCTGTGTGTTGGATCTTTCCTTTGTGATAGTTTTTAAACTTCTTTCCCCATCTTCAACGATTGTGTTAAATGTTTATAGTTTATGATGAATTGTTAAACGTTTGTTTAACAAAAACAAAATAAAATGCATTGAAATTAATTGCGCATATGAAATAAAATGATATAAAACTAATAAAGTTTAATGTAAGGAAAAAATAATTAAATAAAATTAAGATTAGACATTATAGCAAATATAGCGTTAATTTTTTATATTGATTTCGCAGGATACTTTGAATAAAATGCTATTAAATTGGAACATGCTTCAAAAATAAATATTTTTAGAAGTTAATTAATTTTTTTAAAATTTGAGCAATTACTTATTCATTACAATTATCTTGACATTTTTTTTACAATTTACTCTTAACATATTAAAATACATATAAACATATTGTTTGTAATCTACTCACCAATATGAAACTTCTCACTGCACAAGGAAGTGGTAACATTTTTAATTTCAAACTGGGGTAGTTTCAGCTTCTCAAAAAGGTTCACCGGATTTTTTTCAGACCATTTCAAATGAAGTTCACTCGTCGTTTTAGAGACTGTGTATTAAACATAGTTTAAAAATTATTATTTATACCGATATTGAAATCATGGTGGTTGCGTTAACGTACCATATTAAAAAATCGTAGAGTATAGAAAAAAAGTTTTTTGTCATTAAATTTTTATAATTCAGAAAACTCAATTCAACGCTTAACCATAAAGTTATCTTGAATTATAATATTCTGCAAATTTGTTGCAATCTTAATATGGTGTCAAATTGAATTAAATCAACGTGAAGAATTTTAAACTCCTTTAAAAAAAACTGAAAAGCTGTTCAATTTAGTGGGCCAATTAATTAAAACTAAAGCAAAATATGGCGTAATATAGTTTAAAAAGGATTACTTTTCGTAAAAAAAATAATTCAATTCTGCCCCACATGAAGGTTACAGCATACTTGCACGATATTGTGATTACGCACTCATCAAGGAAGTTCATAAAATATGCCGTAGCAGTAGGCGTAGTTAAAGAGAATAATATTATAATTTTATAACTTAGTTCATGCATGAAAATAAAAATAATTTTAATTCATAAGTCGAGTTATTAATTTTTTAGAAAAAAAAATCAGATTCTTAAGATTTTGTTTCAGCTAGATTAGATGCATTTATAGGGACTTGCAAAATATCTGATAGTTTTTTTCTTAAGCTATGCACGAATTTTACAATGAATATACAGGCACGACCTGAGTAGTTCTTATTCGAGTGAAATGATAGATATCCGAAACGGCCGAAGATCTTCAGTTATGTTTTAAAATGTCAAAACTCAATTTGAAAATGGAATCACTGAAACAAAAATGTAGCTGTTCATTGGATTCGATTCCCGAACACCGAAGATTTTCTGGAAATGAGAGAGCTGACAAATTAATCAAGAAGGGAACATCTTTATAAAATATAATAAGCCGGTCCTCTTACTGGTTATAAAAAGAAAAGTTGTTATTAATCTTCATTTATAATTACTAGAAAGAACTATTAAGATTAAGTGGGCAGATCTCAGACTTTCCTGACTGGATATACCATGAACCAGCGGCGCAGTTTCGAATTTTCATAGGACATGTCGGTTTGGACACACATCTGCACCACTATGGTCCACTAAGTCGTACTGTTGGCCAATTCTTTATGGCCTCTACCTTATCCAATGAAGTGCTCGTTGTGAAATGTATATTGCAGAATGGTGTAGGAAAGCAAGATGATAAAATGAGGAAATGAGTATTTATTTTATTGTTTTGTTACTTTCCGCGTTCTTTTTGCTATTGTTAAGATACCACCATTCGATGCAAAGAGTGGGCAGTTTTTAGCCACCCGTAATTTAGTGATTTCTATTAGTTTCATTTTATGATTATAAACTAACAAATAATTGAAGTGAAGGAACTGTTACTAAATTATTATATGGTATAGGATTAAAGAATAGTTTTGAAATTTTATCAAGGAGCTGTTAGCTATTTATTGCTTAAAATTAATGAAAAAATTTTTTCGCAATACATGCAAGTTGCATGCATTGATTATTGACATGTAAATCAACTTTCATCTATGAGTTATTTGGAATTTATCATTGAAAAATCATTGATTTATGATTTGATTACTGAAGAGTCAATAATTAATAGAAATTTATTTTTTTCAGTTACTTAAGCCAAAAACTGAGTGAGAAATTAAAAGAATATGCTGATAATTTTTATTATAGTTTAAATTTTTTCATGAGTCGCACAATTTCTTTCATAAGTATTTATTATGCGTTTCATAATAAATACTAGAAGGTCAATAATTTTTTTTGTTGAAAAAACTATGAAGGACTTTAAATGTATATGCATGCCGAAAAATAAAAAAATAGAATAAAATGAAACCTTTATTTAATATTTTTTTAGAATTTATTTAGAGTTTACTTCTGATGAATAAATTCTTCCTATTTATCCTACCTTCAAAATCAAAGTTTATACATAATTTATGTTAACAAAGCTGAAAATTGCTAAACTGCTATTGAGTAGAATTGAATAAATACATTTCAAACTGAATTATTAATGCTAATTCAATCAATGAATAACATTACAATCATAGTTTATTCATGAAATACGATTCAATGGTATTGCAACAGCAAAGCTCACAATACTATGCAATATGAGGAAATGTTATAATGCAAATATAACCTTTGCACGTTTTGATTTGGCATTAAATTAATTTTTAACCATAAAATGTCAAGTTTTGGCGTATTATCTATTACAGAACATGACATATTTGCTAATAAAGCGAGAGGAATGTTATCTTTATATTATTAGTTGTTCTTGAAGGTATATGTATAATTTTTAAATTGGATTTCTTCTATATATATATATATTAAATGTCGAATGCTTTGTTCATTAAAATCTTAATATACCCAAATAAATGATGAAGTATTAGAATGAAAGAAAAACATTAAAATTAATAAATATTTTAAATAAAGGTATTTAATAAAGAAAGATAATACGTTTACTTCAATTATAATTTGCCTTAAACAAGAGTTTGAAGTGTTCTTTTTAAACAAATGCATTTCAGTTTCTTAAATCTGAATGGGAAAGTATATCTAGCATTTCAAACGTTAAATCAGTTTTTCAATATAGTGTCATAGGCTCAGCTGAAATGTCAAAACATAAAAAAAGAACCACTTTGACCAATTCCAATCAAGTGAGAGAAATTTGGTTTTCACTCCTAATTTATTGTTTGTTATTAAAAGGATAATCATTAATGAAATAATGTATGAAAATTGGATACAAACATTGAATGGAAATAATAAATATAAACTAAAATGATGCCATAATAATGGAATTCTAATATTTTAGTGAAAAAATATAAATATTCTAGAACAATTAGCAGTTTAATTTAAAAACCAAAAAAGGACCAAAACGTAGAATTCATATTGAGCAAGGGAAATATTTTTAAATGTGGGAGTATTTTTGTCGTAACTGTAAAGACTTACGTCTTAGTAGCTGGCATTGAAGTAGTAGAACACAAAATAAGTGTGAGAGTCTTTTCAAAAAAAATATACTACATATAAATTTATGAATATTTCGTGAAAAGTTAGAAAATTTTCAGTTATAACCTCAAAAAAATAAAAAAAACTTTAAAAAATTTTTTTTTCTCAAAAAAAAAATCCAACCCTGCCTGATTTAAAAAAAATAGCATTTAACTTCTCATTTAATATATTTTATTATTTTATTAAAAGTGAAAATATTATTAAAAATTAATAATTGAAATAAAATAATAATATTGCATAGAAGTTGTAGTAATGAAATGAAACAATACCATAATAATAAAATTCTTACATTAAATCAAATTTTATGAATAACGAACAATATGCAATTTATAGTACATGTTCATAATTCGAACAATAATCAGTTACAAAACTTCCGGCTGAGAAATAATGTTTTAAGTTTAAATAAATTAATATATATTTTTTCTCGGTTAAAAAAATATCAAGTTTTATTAATTTAACATAAATGATTTATCAGCAATAAAAATATATGATTATGAAAAAAATTGACTTATTTTTGAAAATCTATTTAGTGAGCAATATTATGCATTCAATTCGGTATTTCTAAAATTTGAAACACTCTTTCTATGGTTGAAAAGCAAAAATAACCTACACTGTTTGATATTTCTCGGAAAAAATGGGCAAATAACAGTTTATTGAATGGTTATTTTACCATATTTAATCAAAACGGTCAAATAACCATAAATAAAATGGTAGTCAAACTGTTAAATTTGAGAAAAACTGTTTATTAACTGCTTTTACCTAATACGGTATAACAACCAAAATTTTGACGCACTAACTAGACGACCTAATGAAGTTACTTAGTTGTTTGCAAAAGCGTACATATCATAGCCGAGCGGCTTATCTGTCAATCTCATGACTGGCAGAACTTGAGTTCGAGTCCTAGTGTTGACATCACAATATTTCCTCCATTCCCTTCAGCACATAAAGAACTTCCAGTGTCCGGCACTATCCAATGCCTATTGCCTTATTAAAAGCCGAGCTCCCATGTCTAGTTACATAATTTTTTCTTAACGTTTCTGAAAAATGCTAGTTTCAAATGGTTAAAAAACCGTATAGTTTTGTATTCATGGTTTTATAACCATACTTTTTGTAAATGATTTCAAAACCATAAAGGAAGAAAATTTTCTTTACCGTAAACTTAACGGTTAATCGGATGGACAGACAGCTGCCAGTTATTTTATCATAATTTTAGAATGAAAATTTTAACATTGTATGATTTTATTGAAAAACGCTTTTTGCATTTTATTGTCAGCATTTTAATAATAATAAAAGAATTCAATACCTTAAACATCCTTTTCTTAATTCACTTATATTTTACAGCTTTTTTATACAGCTTATTTATAAAGAAAACCAACTACCTAAGCTATTTGCACAAATGTTGGTGAGACTTTATGACTACGTAGTTTCTACTTTTTTTTAACAGCTTTTCCTTTTTGCTTAGCATAGATATTGGAAATTTAGACATTATTGCAGAACAACTTTTGATGTGTTCACTTGTATTAATACTTTTTTCATCAAAGCAGCAAGTGTCTTTATTAAAACTACCTTGAAGAAGAATATTATTAAGAATGATACTTGGTGTCAGAAATACTTTACTGAAGAAACTGTACTGTGTATGGTTTGATTATTTAAAATATTCATAAACAGCCTGTGGTATCTGAAAAACTGCGAAGAATATTAAAATATAATGCAATGCAAATTAATTTCTCAATCCTTTTATGGATACTAATATGGAAAACGTTTGTTGAGTTTTTGGTTTCTGTTTGTTTCCTTTCCGAATGTGTCTGAATCAATTTCGAACGTTTTTTCAAATATCTAAATGATTCCATGCTTTACTAATTGTAGAATTTAAGGCAATATGCAAAGTACCTTATTTCTCATATGTAATATTTTTATATCACACCTTTCCTTCATTTCTGGTAAGTACTTAACAAGTACTTTTAATTATAAGTACTTAACAAGTTTCTGAAATGTCTGTTAA